CGTCCCTCCACGACCGCAGTTCTCTCCTCCGCTGGCACGCATCGGTGCTGGTCATGTGGACCAGGGAGGTGGGCGAGCGCCACGTCGTGTCTATCCTGCATGTAGGGGTGGGAAGCTAGCGGCCATGGCTGGTCGGGTAAGATACGGTCGCATCTTCTTTGTTGGTATTCGCTCCTTTGTCGCGTCAGGGAAACAGCTCAAGCTCCCATGCAAACGCATCACGTGGCTACTCCTCGAATGATGATGAGGGCACTGGACGAACGGAGGTGGGTATGCTGGAAGGTTTTCAAGTAAAGCAGGGAATACTCAAGTTTCATCCGTAACATGGAAACGCTTGGTACTTGAATACTTGGTGTTTCCATGTTATGGATGAAACTCGTTCTACGTATAGTGTTTTTCACTGGCGACCAACGAGAAACACTGTACGTAGAACTCGGCTTAAGCCTTTCGATATTTTTTCGTTCCTGGCGTAAAATTCCTCAGTTTTCTGAGCTGCGTGTGAGGTGGAATTTGATAGATGTCTGAGAGCATGAGTCGACCTGCCGAAAGAGGTAAGTTGCCGCCAAGGCCCCGTAAACCGCCAGCGAGGTCATGATGACCCGAGCTTCCATAACCTGAGTATCGACCGTATTGATCAAAAATGACCAAGTGAGATTGTCGCACATCCAACAGGCCAAAGATTGGTAGCTTCAGGTTGTCCAAGCACTTGTGTCCGCCGATAATCGATGATCATATCGACTATAGTCCTATCACACATGATATCGTAATAGTTAGACGTAAAAGTTTCATGCTAGCTCCATGAACCCTCCTTTCTCGTTGTGAGGTTTGGTTCCAGGGAATGTACATGCTTTACGTGGTATTCTGCACAGAGTATGCGCCATGCTCCCTAATCCAGCAATTCTGAGGCCTCGGCGCAACATTCCGTTTGAGGTCGAAAGGCACTTGATCTCAGAAAGAATGTCGAGCATTCGGACCTCAGATTTCGTGGTGATTTCCACGACGCAGTACATAGCTGTGTCCCTGTCGATCGTTCTGAGTGTGTCTCGGGCTCGACCCTCCAGCTTTCAGTGGGCTTCCTTCTTTGCTTAGTTTGCGTTGCCTCCCTATGATGGATCCGAAGCGTCGGCTTCCGAGCCGTGGCTGAAGGCAGGGTGATTCACGTTGAGAGGATAGTATTGGTATCATATATACCTTATCGGTGATCCTCAATCTCATTCACTGGCGCCACAACTCCTGTGAGAGCACATTGTATCTTCAGACTGTGATTCCTTTGTCAGTTCAACTGACTCAGTTGCCTCTCTCGTGATGGTCGGCATTTTGACAACCTGAGGTTGACCACGTCCTTAAGTGCATGCCAAAAATATTTCTCTCTGCTACGTACGAACCATATCGCTTTCATCTTGGTATGAGTATCCGATAACCTTGTTCAGGTGTTGGTCTTCTGCTCGTGTGGGATCTTCACACAGGATCGCCTCCACTGCCATTAAGGTGGGTTATACCTTTTTTTTCGTTCGAAGGTGCCGCCAGTATTTAATACATCAATTTTCCCAGATAGTTCTGGTTGACAATGTACACCATGACGTGCACTGAGTTTGATACGATTCGGCTGTAAAATTACCTCGTCCTGAATGCAATCCACCTCTACGGAGAATAGCGACTCAAGATTCAGAGTCTTATCATTCAACAATCCCGAGTAGACCGGGAAGATGCCTCCAGAGCCTTTGATAGGTGAGTCGACTAGGAGGTTTCATAGCGTTGATTTACGGTACGTGTGTTTGCTTTTTTCTTTGCAGTGATTACGTAGCTGCTAGCGCATGTATACCGATCTCCGCCAGAGGCGGGACCGCAGTCCAGCGCCATGCAACTGCGGAAGATTCTGGGTTTTTCACGTCCAGAATCAGATATATAGAGGTCTGGCATTCAGACTCGCCACGGCTCATCGTTCTCCTGTCGGTGTCTTTCTCATGTCTTTTGGCCTTCGTGTTCATGCCTCAGGGATTCTTTCCAGCGGAGCACGTCTTCGTGCCTATCAGATACTCGCTATCTAATCGGAGGTGATCGAAATGATATCGACGACACCATTTGGATAACTCGGCGGAAGCCTACATATTTCACCGATGGCTCCGGGACTGACAACGATGACCGCTTATTGGTCGCAGAGGAGTTGGTAAAATCTTCGTGTTTGGTACAGCTTAATCGTTCTGTCACATTTTCAGATCTACTCAGTTCGCCAATGCCGTCTTCCATAACCTGAGTATCGACAGTATTGACCTTTTTTTGGATTTAAAAAAGGGGGAGAGGGGAACGGTGGCCTATGGGTGCCTTGGCCGATAGGATTCGCTGTAGTGTGGATATTCGCATCAAGTTGATGCCGTTCCTGTTGATATTTCATCAACAGTTGTATTGCCATGAACGGTTATGTTCCCATTTCCTCTGATGAATTCATCACCTATTTTGAGTTCTGTGGTCGAATTTGAAATCTGTGGGAGGGACAACTTCATCCGTACTATTTGTTTGTAAACGTAGTTGTTTACATGACCGTGCCGGTCTCCGACATCATCGCTCTGGGTAAGAAGTCGGAAAACACTCCCATGGGAGTATTGGCTCCAAGAATAAAGAAAGAGGAAGAGTCGGTACCTAAGAGGGACCAGGCCACTAGTACTACCACGCCTGGTCGAGGGAAAGTAAGTGTGGTTTTTTTTATCTCCCCTTTGAGTTGAAATTGTTTTAGATATTGCCCGATACCCCGCAGACCCGCAATTCCCTCTCCCGAACGTTTGAGGGGGCACTTTTCGTCGGACAATTAGTCTGGCTCGACAGCTCCAAGGTGGCGTTTGTCTTCTCTCATTCGGTCGTGGTTACCTGCTGGTTACCTGCTCCCATATTCAGGTCTTTCTACTGTCAGAAACGCTGCAGAATTTTGAATCGGAAAGACTGCTGGGTGAAGTGATTGACGTGATTAAAGTGCCAGAGGAAGATTTCACCTCCAACGGAATAAAATTTTTATACTACGTCTTTCTATACGACAAAGGCATGCATTTTTCCGACTGGTAGGCTTGGGTGTTCCGACTCTATTTTCAATTTTGGCCCCTTCTTCAAAGGATGCATGTGGTAGCGTCTTCGTGAAGCGATTGAAATTGATGAACTGTCATGGTGGGGAATCCGACGGAGAACGACAGAGTTTTGAGAGTTTTTTCACGAGGACATGAGCCTCTCAGGACTTGCAGGAATTTCAGGGATTATTGTTTATATATGAACTGATATCAATCGTATTAGGTATGAAGATGCAGATGTTGTTGCCTTGACTACCGAGGAGGTGGCCAACTATAGGATTCCTGATGATGACGGAGGGCACAGCAATGGGATGGCAAGGACTCCTCTCAATGACTCCGTCTCGACTGCTGGTGAGTGTGGACCTTCTCATGCGTGCTTTCTTTTATTCCTCGTATTCGGAATTTCATCGCGACCTGAGCGCTAGATTGTTAGGATGGAGACTTTGTCACTGAATGTCGGAATATGTGTTTGGTTTCTTTAGCTGAGTTCAGGAGTTTCCGCATTATATTGTGAAAATGCAAAAAAACCAACAGGAATCAACATGTGTGGTTGACCATATGCATACAGCTTCACATTGTTACTACTCTGGTTGTGATTAGATATGGATAGTGGTATGTCGCATACGGGTACGACCCCCAACACACCGCGACAGCACAGTAGAGGGCCTACAGATCCGCCTGGCATTGATGAGAAGTACTGGGAGCTGCAGTAGGTGTAGGGAGGCTGTGTATGCCTCGGGAAAGGTGTCACTGCTCAGGTATGGACGAAAACATAACGAGCAATATTACATTGCTAGTCATCGAATCAACTTGGAAAAAGCAAAAGCACGAGTGAAGAACATTCGCTTTGTGAAGATCGGACGAGACCGTCCACTGTATACGTGGTGAGTTGTAGGGCTGTTGCATCTGTCGGTGTTGAGGGGAAGGATCGGGATCAACTAGTCTCAATTGTAAGCAGTGTTGGAGCAGTATATGTTCGCTTTCCTTAGCTGAGTTCAAGAGTTTGCGCACTAAATATTCAGAAGTTTACATACGAGTCGCATGATATGACTTAGAATAGTAGGATACATAAAGTGACAAAATTTTCCCGAAATTTTCTCAGAATTTTTTCAAGATAAAAATAATACATAAAATAACAAATAATGAAAAAGAATATAAATAATATAATATAAAAATTTCCATATTGTCACCAACACATGTCACCATGAGCATATTATTCCTCCTAACCTTAGGTTTTTCTCTCCCTACCCTGCCGAGATCGTCGATCGACTGCGTTTACGGGCTGGTGACACGCGGAGCGATCCTGTCACACAGTTGGACATATGCGATCGTTGTTTCCGGCCCTTTGCTGATGAGATGGAAATGTGAGAATATTTGTTGGGGATCAGCTTCCCTGTGGTTGACCTTCATTTAGGTATTCTCATATGGTCACCTGTTGCGAAATTAACCCACCTGGTAGGCGTGATTGTGGGGTGACACCAGTGGTGACACTCTGTTATAGGGGCTCTTATATGGCGAAAAGTGTTGGATGAGAAAGTGTTGGGCGTGGTGGAAGTAGATGGGCAGGCGCATCCGGAGTACTGTGAGAATCTGGTCCTGTTCACGAAGCTCTTCCTCGAGGTAAATCATAACAATGCATAGCCTTCTCAAGGAATTATATTTCATATTTTTATTTATGTTACTCCGCAGAGAATCACCCAGGAACCTATAATGTTCCTGGGGGGAACTCATTTTGAATTTTCCACGTATGGCTAGGAACACATTCTTCAATCAGTTTGCCATGTGAATGTCCTCACAGTGTGAGTACATTTACTGTTGGTTTTCACTGAGTATAGGCCTGGTTTTTACTGAGTATAGGCCTGGTTTTTACTAAGTATAGGCCTGGTTTTCAGGGTAAGAGCCTTTCCGAACACCAAAGTAATCGGCGGGATTTGGTGAAGTCCTTCTGGTTCTACATCCTGGTAGAGTGGGACCATCCAGAAGAGGTGACGACTGTGGTGGTGATGGTGACACTGTGATGATCATGCTCGTTTATCAGATTCCCCCATCGCCGACGTCCATGCCGGTCTCGACGAGGCCGCCGCACTTTGTAGGATACTTCTCGAAGGAAAAAGTCGACAAGCAGTTTTCGCATATCCTTTCGTGTATCATGGTGTTGCCGACGTTTCAACGTCATGGCTATGGCAAGTTCCTCGTCAACCTGGCCTTCGAGCTTAGCAATCGCGAAAACAGGTGAGTACTATGTCGGATGGTGGAGGAAAAAGCGCGCGCCATTGTGATCGATTTGGCGTGGGGAAAGAGCCAATCGGGAGAGCTTGTCGACTCAACACGTGAGAGTTGGTAGATTTCATGCTGGCATCGTCGTGTCTCGAGGACAGCGGAGCGAAGTATTCCACGATTGATGGTATGGAAAATAGCATTGGAAATATGGCTCTGATGATCTCTGATGGTTCACCATATGGGCGTATGGTCTTTTCCCTCCACAGACACGGCAGTGCGGAGAGGCCATTTTCTCCCAGCGGGCATATACTTCTTCATGCAGTGTGGGCTCGTAGGATTATAGACTTCTTGCAGCGAACACGGTGAGCAGCGCCTGTGACGGTGATACTGTGATTGGTATTGTTGCTTCAGTGAGGAGGAGGCGAGTCGGAGTTCAGTGGGATGCACGGTGAACATTGCGAGTATAGCGCATGGCACTAGTGTGATCCCAAGTGACATTTGGAGTACCCTCACTGAGGCTGGGTTGTTGCCATCGCAGAATAAGTGGGTTGGCGATGAGCAGTGCTGCGGAAATATATGTTCGCTTTCCTCAGCTGAGCTCACTTAGTATAGGAGTTTATATGCGAACTAGGGTAGAAGTGTAGAGAGATGGACAAGAATTTCGCTAAATTTCCTCAAGGTTTTCATAGTGTCACCAACACATGTAGTTGACCTTGGCCATATTTTTCCCCCAGACTGATGATTCTTTTCTCCGTTGCTGTTATATATGAGTAACGGTCCAGAATATGACCACGCAAAATTACAAGATTTTTTTTCTGAACAAAATTTCTGTAAAACTTTTTCGTCATTCTCCCGAGTGAAAAAATCTTTTTTTCGCCATAAAAGTTTCTTTGAATGTAACCGTTCCGCTTCAGTGGAGTTTCACTTGTTTTACGTGAAGTAGCGTAAAACTCGGTGAAAAACGCGATATTCGCGGTGATATGCAGTAGTCGTGAAATTTGTTTTTCACTAGGGTGAAATTCTGGTATACGGAAGCTCATCGCTATATGTAAGCCTTGCTGAAGTTTAGGCCTCAGGCACTAGTTAGTTAGAATGAAAAGGTAAATTTTCCGAACTTTTTTCCTATGAAAAAAATACGTCTCTTAGTGGTGATGGAACGAGTTCAGGTTGCGGCCACGTGCTTCGGTTGGAGACGGGCTGCCGGTCTTGACACCAGCCAAGTTAGAGAGGAGGGTCAGCTGTGATACGCCGACTATCGAGGCACTTCAGATGGTGAGGAAATAATCTCGTGGCCCGTGACGGTGAAGAATTTATCAGGTGGCGCGAGGAAGTGGGATGCCTTTGAATTCATGTGATGTGTATTGGTCACCACCAAAAGTGTTTCGCGAAGGGGAAGGAGATGAATGTGAGCGGCACGGTTTTATCATTGTGAGAGATGCATTATATGTCAGGCCCGGTGATATCAACGCGTCGGCGCACGGCTGCTATGAAAGCACGGAGGCTTGGAAGTCCTAGTAGTGGCAGCCCAGCAGCGGCCGTGCATGGCGCTACTTGGGTGGAGAGCGACTTGTCTCCGATGGACTATTGACGAGTGCTGCTGATGCTTGTGTTGTGACAATGCCGGGGGTAGGGGGTGTTTGCTCTGCTCAGCGAGCTCGGGAGTTTCTCCATTGATTATATAAGTGTGCAGAATTTTCTCATTGTCACTTATACGTGTAGTTGAGAATATTCTACTACACTGTATAGGGGCGTGGGTGTAGCTGCTCACTGGAGTAGATTGAGGTTTGTAGCAGCAGATAGGGCACGTGGGTTTGTCGTGGTGATGGGGGATACAAGCATTGATGTGGTAATCGATTATTGAGTGCCTCAGCTTGAATGGTTGTCGAGGCATCGAAATGAACAGGACGCGGTAGCAATACGTTAGTAGCAATGGGCGACGGTGTCACAGCTGGGGGTGAGTCTTGCTAGAGATTAGGGTAAGCTCTAGCAGGAGTGGTTCATGTGGGCGAGTAGGTGCTCCAATAGTCCCGAGCTTTCTGATGGAAGATTTCTATGTAGTGAACCTGTGGGAGGTGTGAGCCGCTGGTGATCTGGTACCTGTGACCGAGACTTGAAGGGGAAGCCTTGCAAGGCTTTGGTCATCTCCACACCAGCTAGTCGACTTACTCTGTTGATAGTTAAATGATTATGTATAGATGTTCAGTTAAAGTGGAGGATCACGGGTTGATTGGGGAAAGCTGGTAGCACGCATGCACATGTGATGGTAACAGTAAGAAATATAATTCTCAAGTTGGCCACGGGTAACGTCAGTGAGGGTGTCGGTTGAATTGTATGTCCTAAGCTGAAGAGAATTAGCAGTGTTGATAACATGGCATTGTCGTTGTCGACCTCGCCGAGTGGTGACACTACTCTGCCGAGTGTGATGTACTCGTGGAGGGTTAAGGCGCTGAGGACTTGGATGGGGGAGTTCAAAGCCGGCGGGGAAAGACAGCTTATGGTTTCGGATCTCGAGAGCTTGGGCCATCTGGACCAGTGAGAATGGGTGTAGTTTGAATACCACATTTCCGTCAAATTCTGTTAAAGGTACCACTATCGTGGCCTAGCTGCATGTGATGAGGTTATTGCCACTCTGGGCCTCGGCCCTGGTATGAAGGTGCTTGACGTTGGCTGTGGTGTTGGCGGTCCTGCCAGGTGAAGTCTGCTTCGCTCCGCTAGAAAATGTAGAATTTTTCGAAGATATATATCGTATAAGTCGGGATGCTCGGTGGTCGGCTACGATGTGCAGGAGGAGTTAATTGAAGTGGGGAAGGAAATTACGGAGGCGGTGGGTCTGTCGAATAAGGTCGACCTTGTTTGTGGTGATGCTGCAAAAGATATGTATGCTTCGGAAAATAGAGAAAAGTGAGTGCGCTGGGATTCGATCCGGCGACCTTTGGCGAGAAAGTCATGAGGTGTAACGATGCGCGCAGGTTTGACTCTGCGTTCTCGCTGCTGGTGATACTCCACATCCCTGATCGTGTAGCTGTTTTGAAGGCCATGTATGAGGCTCTGAAACCTGGCGGATCGGTGAGCCATCCATCGGGAGTGTTGTTGACTCGCAGGTCTTAGTTATTGATAGAAGACATGGTTCATCTCATTAAGGAAGGGCCCTTCACTATGAAGGAAGGGCAACTCCTTCGGGACATGGTTGGAGCCCACAAGGTCTCCGATGTGGAAAGGTGAGATAGTAGTGGTTAAGTAGGGTAAAATTTGCACATGGTCAACCACTCTGAGAAAATTGAGGAGAATTTTTGTTGGTAGTTTCTGTACATTTATCGTGTATATTTTCCCAATACGTATATGAACTCCTGTGAGCTCATCAGCTAAAGAAAGCAAACATATATTGCAACACTAGCGAGCAGAGCAAGATCTGCTGAATTGGTCATCATGCTAGTTACAGGAGAGACCTGTTGGAGGCAGGTTTTGTGGACATCGAGTTCAGGGATTTGACCAGCATCTGGCGGCCGTGGTCGCAGCAGAGATCGGACGAGTAGGAGGAGGTCGCGGGTTCGATTCCTGGTAGCGACATTTTAGTTATGAGGCGAGTAAGGAGCGACAGATATCTAGTATTGGAGAAGAGCATTATTGCAATCGTTCTAAGTTCTACGCTGCAGTGGCGGAGCTGTTCAGAGGAGGTCGTCTTGGCGGTAGGTGATGATGATGTTCATGATGATAATTATAATAATAGAGGCAAGTTGAGAGAGTTGTGGTATGTACGCAGGTGTGAGTATCACTATGAGGAAGCCAACAGTCATGGAGAGGAATTTGATAAAGGGTCGAGCTGCTCTGGCGGAGGAGAGAATACTCGAGGTTAGTCGCGCTCAGAGGTGTTCACTGTTGTTGTTAATTGCTGCATCGTGGGTCGGCATAGGGCAAGGGCGGCCGTTGGATAGAACTCAGACTGGCGGCCAGTTGGGTATTGTTCGATTAATATTAGAATGAACTTGTCACATGCCTTGGTTTCAAGCAGGGACGAGATGGCGCGCGAAAAGCGGACGAGTGCGAAATGAGGGAATAATTTTTTTCTCTTATTGTCACTCTCTTCTAGTTTTGTCTATATATTAGTGCAGCACTTTATGCTATTATGCGATTCAGAACTCCAGAATGACTCGCATTGATCAGTATTGTTCCTAGGGCGGATTTTCTAGGATGACATTCATAGCATCTCTACAGGTCCCATTGTCGATCATTGAGACCAACAAGTGCACGAAATCGAAGGTTTTCCCCCTGACTGAACATGACAATTGGCAATTCCATTTTTTCGCGGCCGATGAGAAGTCGAAAGTTAAATATCTCAGTTTTAGGATGTGGTCGGCTAAATCGCTCCCTCTACGAATCTGGCTTTGGTGAGCTGCAGCGGAGCGATGCGTTTTTTTGTTCATTTTTTGTTGTAGGTATGTCACTGATGAAGGCGAATCAGTGGTTGTGGTTGACTATCAGAGTAGGAGCTTGAGCGCTCTTCAAGAAGTGTCTGCAGGCCAGGTGGGTTCACTACCACCCTTCCTGCTGGTGGCTACTGTCTTGGAGTAGGTAAGAATCGAGTTGGGTTTGATCGGAAGCTTGGTGCTCCATGATGATGTTGATGATCCTAGAGGTGTCGGGGAGTTGGTGCTGCAACATGAGGGCAACACTGAGATGATACACATGTGAGAAAACGTCGTGGAGTTCATCGTGTATATTACTAGTCTAAAGGTATATACTGTATATTGTATATGTGTACACTATATTGTATACGCTCGCGCAATGGTCCGGCTCATGTCACTTTACACCTAGAGATCAGATGGAGCTGAAATTTTCGCATATACACTCTCCTAACAAAATAACATAGCATGGGTCAAATTGTATTTAATTGTATTTGACAGTCGTTGGCAGTTTTCCATCAATAAGATATCTATCAAGTATAGTAGGGCGGCGGCATCTATTATATATTATTCGTTAGTTTTTGAAGCTAAGATGAGGAGTGTATTATATCAGGCATTTCTCCACTGAGGGTCTACACTACCCGTGGGAGGTCCCAGGCCAGGGAGAGAAGGTTATTCATCGGCCATTCCTCAGGGGTGATGTTGTTATCAACGGTGAACACATTTTGATGCACGGGTGAGTCGGAGTGTTCGTATGGTTTGCCATGTGCTGTAGCGATGATATTGGTTGGCTACTCTACGGCGATTGATGATTTTTCCTTAGTTACTCTAAGCGTTATTATGGTCCTAATTATGGCCCGGTGTGGGGGTATCGATTTATTCATACGATGCTGAAGGATGAGTCTACAGGAAAAGTGGAGGGAGTCTTATGGACGGCTGATGCCACTTTTGGAAAAAACAAGTATGGATATTGTGGGATTTGAACCTACGGCCTGTTGCTTTTGAAGCATGAGTGATACCTCTCGAGCAGTTTCGCCTAGGTTTCATATGTTCAGATACAACTATTGGAAACTGCTCAACTTAGATAGCGGCAAAGTCGATTCCATCCCTGGGGAATTCACTTTCCATCAACAGAGGATGGCTTGTTCGTTGTGTGAGGGCAAGTAAGCAACTGTTATGCTCACGTGAATTGCCTCGTGAAAAGATTAACGACGTACCGTCTCTCGCTGCTTGCAGGATGAAGAAACTTACTGTGAATGCCAGCGTCGTTCACGAATGGACTCTAAAAGGAAGCAATATGCTTTCGGAAATGTCCGAGGCATTCGGCGTCGCTGAGCTCACGGATTCTACTGGCCAGGTGGACGATGAATGAACAGGTGTGTGTCCATTGGAATTTGGCCTCAGGTTTTGGCGAGCGGACCCGCCTTCAACGAGATCTGCTATGGCTCCCTCGGCTGATCACATGTGGCTCGCAGATATGGCATCTGATTATTAAGTTTTTATTGATAGAAAGATTATGTTTTTTCTAGCGGAGTTTCTCTGAGAATCTTCGTTGCTGTGTTGATCAGTAGTGTTGACGGACGTATTGAAACCTTGTGCGA